ACTTTGGAAGAAGAAACCCACAATTTAATTTTGCACTGAGCCCTGTATATTGTATAGCTGGTCTTGCAAAGCACTTTTACAATGCTGGCTGTGTTCAACTTCTCGACTTACATTGGAGTTATATGGGTGTTAAGTTTTAACCATTGGTTATACCATACATATATTTTATGCAATTTTCTGTATATATTTAATATTATTCAAGTTTTAAATGTTAAAAATAGATACTTTCCCAGAAATAGATTTACTCCAGGAAACAGGGAAAAAAATTTAATTTCTGAACCAGCATGGTGGCTCACACCTGTAAACCCAGCACTTTGGGAGGCTGAGGTAGGTGAATCATTTGAGGTCAGAAGTTCGAGACCAGCCTGGCCAACATGATGAAACCCCGTCTCTACTAAAAATACAAAAATTGGCTGGGTGTGGTAGCACACCCCTAGTCCCAGCTACTCGGGAGACTGAGGCAGGAGAAACACTTGAACCCAGGAGGGGGAGGTTGCAGTGAACTGAGATCACGCCACTGCACTCCAGCCTGGGAGACAGAGCAAGACTCTGACTCAGAAAAATTTTTTTAAAAGTTTGATTCCTGACTCAAGTTCTTAATGAGATATAAAGCCAGGCTCTTAGCAAATAGGCACAAATAAGAAGAGGTCAAATCAGTGATTTTTAAATTTAGAAACTGAAATAAATTCTGCATTGCAGCACAAAAAGGCAGATATAACACAGCAGAACAATAAATTTTTAAGCATAAAGAGATAATCTGAGATGTAATTCTACAATTTAGAATGAAGACACACAATGGTAAGAGAAGATAATATATATAAAGGGTAAATGACAGAGAGCCAACTTACAAGTCAACTTGTAAAGTCAACTCCAAAGGAGGAGAAAAATGGATCAAAAGTCAATTTTTAGAAAAGATCTTTCCAGATTAGAAAAAGGACCTGATACCAATGGAAACTAAGATGTCTCACTGTTTCATGGCAAATTTAGCAACCAATGTATTTTCCACTAATTTTGAATTTTATATCCAACAAAATCAAAGTGATCCTGAAACCTAAACTGAAAAACAAGTAATCTTCCAATAATTAACTTACAATCAGGAAGAGTTCAATTTTTTTGTTCTTTTGTCTGCCATAAACAATATAGAAATATGTCTTTTGAGTTTGGCAGTGAAAATTGAAGAAGGTGATGACTCAAAAATATAGTCACCAGTCAATTTAGCACTCGTGTTAGAGCAGAATGGCAGAGCTTCAGAGTTTTGGAAAAACAAATACTCAAATACTCCAATATTCCTAGAGAAGAAAGATTAAAGATATTAATAAGTCCACTGGAAAACAAAAACGAATCACATTTAAAACTTTATCACTGAGAAGCTGTGATAGAAAAGAACTAGCTATAAATACAGAAACAAGCAAGAAAAATCTTCAAAAATCACTAAGCATTATTGGGAAAAAGATTGACGCTGCTGGGTCTCAATAACTGATGTAACTATGGTAACTAACATAGGATGTGAATGACAAAACATGCTTTGTAAAAAGAATACTTTTTAAGAAAAATAGCAGAGTTTGCAACCCCAGATTAAAAATATATCAGATAGGAATAAAAAAAGCACAAAAATATTATACTTAGGTTTCCATGAAATGGAGTTCAAAGTTGTCATTTTTTGTTTTTATAACAGCTAACATATACAAATTAATCTATGAAAATTGCTAAAGTTGCCAATAATCAAATTAAAATCAAATTATCCATTTTCCAAATTATTACCAATGATAAGAAAATACTGTTGGGGTTCAGAAATAATATCCCCAAATCTGTCACTTTGACATGCTGAACTAAAGCAGCTGCCTCAAGGTCTCTCTGACCTTCCCCCCCTTCCTTCCTGTCTCTCAATCTTCTGTCTCTCCCAAAATATAGGATGAGACTGTTCTCTGAAGTGCCCTTATCTACCTAGAAACCGGACCTGCCAAAGAGGAACACAATTGCCTTCGATCCCTTCTCTAAAATTTCATTAACCAGAGAAGATTAAAACTCATATCACAGAGACTGAAAATTAAACACCACACCTACAGCCCAAATAAACTTTGTCCCAAGCTATTGTTTGTTCTCTGGTCCCACTCAGTTTACAAAGAGACTCATTTATAAGCTAATTTCTGTCCATTCATCTCTCCTAAAATCATTTACTGTCTCTCTAAAATTGCCTACAGCCATCACTTACCTGTCCCCTTTAAAGAGAGTATTTAAGCTTCAATCATCTGGCCATTCTCTGACGCTTCATATTTTTTGTTCGGCTACCATGCTTATATACATTGAGAAATTTGTTATGCTTTTCTCTTGTTAACCTTTCTTTTGTTATAGGGATATGAATTGTGACCCTTATGATGAGGAGGAAAGGGATCATCCCTTTCTGTTCCTTCCACACAAAACATTTTCTATGGAACAGAACACAGTGAAAGAAACAGCTTCACTAAAAGAGGCATAAAATTAACACAAGTCAGGCCTAGAAAAAGAATGAAAATCAATTATAATAAAGTTAAATTCAATATTAATCAAATGGTTCAAATGAAAATACCCCCAAGCCTTGGAATAGTATTAAATGACTATTATTTCAGAGGAAATACAATGTAAAATACAGAACTACATAGAAAATTTTGAAACTGTAATAGTACAGCTCAATCTTCTAGATGAATATGTGTGGGGAAAAGAAAGAGATCAGACTGTTACTGTGTCTATATAGAAAGAAGTAGACATAAGAGACTCCATTTTGTTTATTTGAGACTAGGCAATTCTTTTTTAGATGACCAGTTTGACCACAATTATAACATTTTCCCCCAAATGTTCTAACTTGTCCTCCTAAAGCAATTCCTGTGATTGCTTGAGCCATAAGCATAGCTTTATGCATAGCTCCTCCAATTCCATCACAGGCTTTAACGTACTCTGAGATTACATCTGATCCTGCCGGGACCCTTCCTTTTAATGGCTTAATGGCTGATTGACAATCAGGATTGGCGTTTTCATATGCCATCAACTCCACTATGACCTTATGGGCATTCTCATTGGTAATTGACTTTTGAGCAGCATCTTGAAGTCTTGCTACAAAATCAGGGTAGGGCTCTTTAGAGCCTTGTCTTATTGTATTGAATGAGGGGCAGGCCATTCCTGGGTCTTGGATTTTCTCCCAGGCCCTAAGGCAGATAGCCCTAATTTGCTCAGTGGCCTCATTTGGCATTATTACTTGTTGATAGCAGTGCTCCCATTTTGACCTGTTCCTAATAGTTGATCTACATCTTTGTTAATTGGAGGATCTGCAGTCCTATTTCTTCGGACTTGTTCTTGTGCCCCATCAATCCACCAAGTCTTAAACTGTAAAAATTGAGAGGGTGAAAGTGATGATTTTGCCAGAATCTCCCAATCATAAGGAATGAGTCTATGTCCATAAGCAATGGAATCTAATAATGTTCTCATGTTAGGAGAGTTGGGTCCATACTGTTTTACTCCCTCTTTCATTTCTTTTAGCATTTTTATAGAAAAGGACTCATATCTGGCTTCAGCTATGGGAGGCTCTCCCTCTTGGGCCCCTTCTCCAGGTGGTCATGATTCTAATATTACTGGGAATTGCCATGCTTCAATATCTCCTTGTTTTCTTGCCTCATCAATAATTTTATGTAATGCACCACCCTGTCCACTAGGCGGTGCTGTAGGATTAAGTCTCATGGTGGGCAGCTGAGGATATGGCACCCTGCCTTGTGGCACTGGAAACATTCCTGGCTGTCCATACAGATTTTCTGGGGGCAGCCGATACTGAAGTTTGACTGGCGGCCAGTATTGATAGGCTACTGGTGGCTGGGTCTTATTTTCTACCGGCTGATATTGTGGACACTGTATTTGGATTTTCATTGCCATGACAGAGACTCTCATCTTTTTCTATTTGATCTTCTTTTGGAGTTTGTACTTGTTTAACCTGCATTTGAGGTTGTAAAGTTACAGGCATCTGAGCTGCTGTAAGAGTAGATGGCCATCGTGGTTTAGACTCTGATGGCTCTGCTAATTCTGGACCTTTTTCTTCTAATTTTAACGTTTCAGGATATATCACCTCCTGTAATTGATTATCGTCAACATTTTGCATTGACCGAGCCGTTACCAGCTCTGCTACACATTTACAATGTGAACTTTCCGTTCCTTTCTGGGATTCTATCCCTGCCTCTTTTTCACAATCTACTGCACAGCTTTCAGGGACATCAGAAACTGAAACACTATCTTCTTCTGTTTGAAACGGCTCTAAAGCTACTTTAATAATGACCCAATCATTCCATACTGTAAGTGGGATGATTTTACCTTCCCTACTTGCTTGTTTTAATTCTTTGCCAATTTTTTCCCAGTCTTTTAGATCTAAAGTTCCCTGTTCCGGAAACCATGGGCAAAACTGTTCTATTGTTTGAAATAGCGTAATTAGATTTTTGGTAGAGACTTTAACTCCCCCTCTTTTTAAGAGAATTTTAATAAAGCTGCGATAAGAGGCTTGCCCCATTGTTACCCTAGGTTCTTCCGAGCTCACAAGCTTACTGCAAGGCTGATTGTAGACGTACTCGGGAGTCTCTCATCGACTTCTCCTCAATGACCATGCTCAAGCGTACCTTCACCTTAGAGAAAAGCACCCATGTTGGGCACCAGATGAAGGGGTGGCCTACCCCTCCACACCTGTGGGCGTTTCTGTTAGGTGGAATGAGAGACTTGAGAAAAGAAATGAGACACAGAGACAAAGTATAGAGAAAGAAAAAGTGGGCCCAGGGGACTGGCACTAAGCATACAGAGGACCCACGCCGGCATCGGTCTCTGAGTGCTGAGTGCCAGTCCCCTGAGCGCCGGTCCTCTGGGCCCACTTTTTCTTTCTCTATACTTTGTCTCTGTATCTCATTTCTTTTCTCAAGTCTCTCGTTCCACCTAACGAGAAACGCTGACAGGTGTGGAGGGGCAGGCCACCCCTTCATCTGATGCCCAATGTGGGGCAGCACCCGCTGGTCTAAATCAGGGAGGGGTTGTTCAGTCCTTGCAGGCTTCATGAGATTGATTCCTGACTACTTTGCTGTGAATTGCACAACTCAGACAGTAACGTAGCTTCACATACAGCTTGGGAAGCACATAGGCATAGAAGACGCTCGCTTCAGAAATGTCCCTGACTGCTGCGGCCTCCACTATGTTTCGAATGATGAATTTCTTAATGGTTTTGTCCTTGGGCATGCATCGGGCACAGTTAGTGCAGCGAATAGGCTGCACTTGGCTGCGGCCCTTTTTGGCACAACCGTTGTTCCTTCTTTTCTTTGTCATCTTGGACGTACGGACCAAAGAGAGGCCAAGGTTAAGTTTGAAGAGAGATACAAGACAGGCAAGGACAAGGTTGGGATTAGGGTCACAGATTAACAGCATCTCAAATACAGAACAAAATGGATTCTCTTATGTCTACTTCTTTCTGTATAGACACAGTAGCAGTCTGATCTCTTTCTTTTCCCCACAAATATGGACACTCAAACTGGAAATAAAGTAACAGGAAACAGAGGAGAGATAAATCTTCCTATCCCTAGAGGTGCATTTCCTCTCCCTTTTGATAATTTAGCAGAGCTGGCTCAGGAGACTTGAGTTGCCTCGAGGGAAGAACAGGCTGATATCAGCCACTGTGTCTCCAGGAGTCTCCCTTTCTAAAAAGGCTCCTTCCAGACTAGGGAGCTTCCACTCTTAAATACACACCTAGATGCTCCTGGCCCTCTGCATAAATACAGAGGGCAAGACGTTTCCCTCTGACACATGAGCCTCTGTGCACTATGAGCCATCCATGCTCCCTAAGTTGTGGGTCTATAAGATTTGGGGAAATATGCCTGTGCTCTACTTTTTTCTGCTAGTAAATTTCCTCCCCAAAACCCTGTGTTAAATCTAGTCTGCTTTGCTAGTGACGTTGTCCATGATTGCTTTGCACAACAGGAATAGAAGCCAACAATTTATTATGCCAAATGATATTCATCTGAGGAATGAAAAGTGGATTACATTTATAAACTTGATTAACATCATAGGTCACATAAAAAGGATAAATAAGAAAAATTATATTATCCCTTTAATGGGATGGTAAAAAGCATTTGATAAAATATTATGCCCATTTATATTTTAAAACCCTTTAAAAAGGACAAGAAAGATGGGCTCAGAGTTTATTTCAAATCGACATCCAGTATTATACTTAGTGGGGAATACGCTACAGTTGCTTCCTTTAAATCACTAGCAAAGCAAATAAGATTTCTCTCTATTTTTAAACTACTGACATTTAAGAAATTCTGATCAATTTCATAATTTATGAATCAAAAATAAGTGAAAACATAATAGAAAGAAACAGGAAATATTTTTGTTAGTTGCAGAAGGCATAATGCAAAAGCTCTAGAAAAGCAATTGATTGAAAAATAGAATTCATAGAGGAGCTCATCAAAGTGGAAGAGTAAGAAATGCATGTGAAAACATTTGTTCTAATTCTACATACCAAATTCAAGAATTCCCATTTAAAATTTAAAAAAAAAAAATGTAAGAATTATTCCAATGAGAAAAGTAAGAGACCTATAGGGATAAAACTGTAAATATTTATTTTATGTCTATATCTAACATATATATATATTTCCATTATTATTTTATATTTCTCAATAATGTCAAGATTTTAAATCTGCTCACATTAATATATAGACTTAGTTCAATTAGAATAAAAATTGTAATGGAATCAGTTTTTGAGTATTGAGGGAATTAAACTAATCTGTAAGAATAACCAGGTGAGACCCAGCACGGTGGCTCTTGCCTGTAATCCCAGCACTGTGGGAGGCCAAGGCAGGTAGATCACTTGAGGTCAGGAGTCTGAGACCAGCCTGGCCAACATGGCAAAAACCCATCTCTTCAAAAATACAAAAATTAGCCAGATGTGGTGGCAGGCGCCTGTAAGCCCAGCTACTAGGTAGGCTGGGGCAGAAGAATTGCTTGAACCTGGTTGGTAGAGGTTGCAGTGAGCTGAGATTGCGCCATTGTACTCTACCATGGGCAACAAGAGCAAAACTCCATCTCAAAAAATAAATAAATAAAGAATAACCAGGTGAGAACATCTTTGAAATTTTTCAAAAGATAATAACTAGCCAAACTACCAGAGGCATTCCAAGGCATTCCAACCAGAGCACCTCCACCCTGAACAGGGGCTGGGTGAAATAAGCCTGAGACCTTCTGGACGACATTCCCAGGATGTTAGGCATTCTTAGATACAGGATGAGCTAGGAGGTTGGCACAAAATATAGATCATAAGGACCCCACTGATAAAACAGGATACAGTAAAGAAGCTGGTCAAAACCTGCCAAAACCAAGATGGTGATAAAATAGACCTCTGGTAGTCCTCGCAGCTCATTATATGCTAATTATGCATTAGCATACTGAAAGACACTCCTATCAGCACCATGACAGTTTATAAATGTCATGGCAACATCCGGAAGTTAATATGGTCTAAAAAGGAGCCGAACATTCAGTTCTGGGAACTCCCCATCCCTTTCCCAGAAAACTCATTAATAATCCAAAACTGGTTTAGCATATAATGAAGAAATTGCCATAAATATACTCAGTGATCAGTCCATGCTGCTGTTCTGTCTAGGGAGTAGCCGTTCTTTTGCTTCTTTACTTCTCTAATAAATGTGCTTTCACGTTAGTCTGTGGACTCATCCAAATTATTTCTTGCATGAGATTCAACAACCCTCTCTTGGGATATGGATCGGAGCCCCTTTCCAATCCAGAAGGTTTTCTTATCTCCTTTTTCTCCTGCTCCTTTCTGGTAACAAAGCCATATATTTAAAATAAATTGTATAGGTACAGTCATTAAAATCGTGGCCTACTTGTCTACAAATAAGCATACAGACCATTGCAACAATTCAGGTGACTAAAAAGAAATGATATTGTATACATGATAAAAGAGGCCTCACAGGCCAGTAGTGGCAGCTCATGCCTATAATCCCAGAACTTTGGGAGGCCAAGTGGGTGGATCACTTGAGTTCAGGAGTTCAAGACCAGCCTGGACAACATGGCAAAGCTCATCTCTACAAAAAAACACAAAACTTAGCCAGGCATGGTGATGTGTGGCTGTTGTCCCAGATACTCAGGAGGCTGAGGCAGGAGGATCACTTGAGCCCATGAGGTCAAGACTGCAGTGAGCTGTGATTATGCCACTGCCCTCCAGTCTGATCACAGAGGGAGACCCTACCCTCCCCCCACCAAAAAAGGCATCACAGATTAAAGAATAATAAAAGGATCATCTATTAAATGACCTTAGTACAGTTTGGTAAGGAGCAAAGGGAAGGGAGAATCCGTGTACATTTCAATTCATACCATACAACATATTTAATTCCTGAGGTATTAAAAAAATTATTATTATTAAAGAAAATTAGAGAAAATTTATCTGATTATTTATTTTGGAGGCTGAGTTTCTAAGTAAAACAAACATACAAAAAAGAGGAAATAATCCTATAATCAACCCCATAAAAATAAAAGCTCTCACATATGAAAAACTTAATAGAAACTAAAGGTAAATAAAAGATTGCGTTCAAATCAATAGCAAGTAAACAAAGAGGTAATACATTTATAAACCTCATTCCTCTTCTAATTTGCATTTATTTGATAACTACTGTGATTCAGCACTGTCTCACATGTTTACTTAATAGTTATAATTCTACCCCGATATGCTACCTGTTTATGTTATTTTATGTTATCTTACTATGTATCTGTTAAAGTCTCAGTCTTTTCCTAATCATTCTGCATTTTGGAAGAATACTTTAAATAAATAAACAAAGCAGGAAATGATTTCAGAGTACAAAATTAATTAGAAAAACACCAAGCACCACTAGTTATCAAAGAAGTATAAGTCAAAGGTACAATTAAAAAACAACAACAACAACAACAAAAAAAAACTTTAAAACTTTTAATCTATAAAATTAGCAAATTTAAAAAAAAATAACATCCAAAACTGGTTTGCATAAAATAGAAATGTTCTCTCATACATTTGGTAATAGTAGAAGTTGCAGTTACATTTAGGGAGCAATTTATAATTATAAACAATGCTTATAAGTTGTCAGAAATTTCTTGATGATAGTAAACCCATATCCTAAGAAACAAACAAACAACATTAAAATAGTTTTAAAAGGCTATTTTTGAAAGCTTTAAAAGAGCCTGTATATCCAACGGCACAGAAATGGGAAAGCAAATTATGGCCCACATACAGGGAACTCAATGCTGCCATTAAAATGATGATCAGGAAGATTACATAACAGCATGGAAATACTTATGATAATTCCATCATAAAAAAACACAAAAGCAAAATATAAAATCATGTTCGTGGTAGCAAAAGAATAAAACTGGAAAGAAATCCACTAAATCAATAACTTAGTATCTCTTTTTAAACAACTGTCGACAAAGAGTCAAACTAAAATATTTGAAGAGATTTCTGAGCCAAATATGAGTGACCAATGGCCCATGACACAGCCCCAGGAGATTCTGAGAACATGTGCCCAAGCTGGTCAGGTTACAGCTTGGTTTATTCATTTTATGGAGACATAAGGCATCAATCAATACACGTAAGATGTACAATGGTTCAGCCCAGAGAGACAGGACAACAGGAAGTGGGTGGGGCTTTCAGGTCATAGGTGGATCTAAAGATCTTTTTGATTGACAATTGATTGAAAGAGTTATTACCTAAAGATCTGGAATCAATAAAAGGGAGTGTCTGGGTTAAGATAAGGGGTTTTGGAGAACAGGGTTCTTATTATGCAGATGAAGCCTCCAGGTAGCTGATTTCAGAGAGAACAGACTGTAAATATTTCTTATCAGACTTAAAGGGTCTGTTCAATCAGTCTCAAGGTCTCTGTTTTAATGCTAATGCTGGTCAGCTGTGCCTGAATTCCAACAGGAGGAGGGTATATTGAAGAATGTCTGACCCTCATTTGCCATTATATCCTGAACTAGTTTTTTGGGTTAACTTTGGAATGTCCTTGGCAGAGGGGAGGGTTTATCAGTTGGCTGGGGGCTTAGAATTTTATTTTTGGTTCTCTTTTTTTTTCTGAGACAGAGTCTTGCTCTATCACCCAGGTTGGAGTGCAGTGGTGCAATCTCAGCTCACTGCAACCTCCACCTCCCGGGTTCAAGTGATTCTCCTGCCTCAGCCTCCCAAGGGACTACAGGCATGAGCCACTATGCCCAACTACTTCTTATTTTTAGTAGAGATGGGGTTTTACCATGTTGGCCAGGATGGTCTTGAACTCCTGACCTCAAGTGATCCACCCTCCTCAGCTTCCCAAAGTACTGGAATTATAAGTGTGAGCCACTGCTCCTGGTCTATTTTTGGTTTTCACTACAGCAAAAAACATCCAATTCTTTTAAGTTGCAAACACACAGTCTCTA